AGTGAGTCAATGCTGATTTATATCAAGAAAGGGTCAAATCTACTCAATACAACTGTCCAAATAATCTTTCTTAAAATTAATTTCATTATATTTCTTTATTGTTGAAGAGTTAAAGAGGCCATCTTTCTGACTCTATTGCCTATTAAAGAAGTTAAAAGACTCCAGTCAGTGTAGATTAACTCTTCAAATGGACATGATTTTATCTGACATCGCTCATAGCTATCCCCAGCCAGTCCTTCTGCTTTAGGAGGGCACTCATGTTCCCATCCTACACTGTGATTGTGTCCACTCTGTCTCCTCACCTGGAAAACCTCTGTTTTTTTCTCAAGGACTTGTGCTGTTGGCTTTCAGGGATTCTCCTCTCGAAGAAGCCTCCCTGAACTGCTCTGCTCCACAGGACCTGCCACTACAGGGACCTGTACACTTGTCCATCTGTTTAGAACAATCTGGCAGTTCTCTAGAGGTTTCATATTATGTATGCATCCAGAGCCTTCTACCACACTGCTAAGCACTGTAAAAATGTTCTATTTTCTCACTTTTTTTTATCTTTCCATAGTTAAAGTTACCTGAGGAAAAGGCTGGGCACACAGCGAATATTTCATGAAATCTTGCTAAGTGTGAGAGCTACAAAGCATGGCCAGCATTTTCCTTGAGCCCAGGACCCTGTTTGGGAAAACAGAGTTTGGAGGCATCTTTAAGGGAAGGGTATGCAAGGGCACTGTCTCAAAGTTTTCCTCCTATCCCAGAGGAAATCTAAAGGAAATGTGTAAGTGTCCCTAAGGCCATGATGATAAATTCTACAAGCTGAATATAAAGAATCAAGTGAGGATTATAGTATATCAATGTCTAAACACAGAAATGGATAGGAGATTTCTCACTGGAAGGGAAAAATAAAAAGTTCTTCCAAGAATATTTTAGGACACTTTTCAAAATGATTTAGCTGTTGATAATGGAGAAGTTTTAGCTTGCAGAATTACATTTTCAGGATGCTTTAACTTTAAAACTCATTTGATTAAGATATCACGTATATTTATGTATGTGTGTGTGTATTTAGAAAGGGTTGGGAGAGTCTTACTGCTAAACATTGGCATGACAGAGTTTATTTGAGATACTCCTGAGTAATTCAAGACATTTCTGTATGTGTATCTCTGAGGTACTCAGGGCTATCTTGGATAACACTTGTGATGTGATTGAAAATGCTTATAAGAGTAATATAAAAATATCAAGGCAATAATTTATTTGACTGTATTTGTATGTCTCTCATTATGAACAAAATTCATGACTGAAGCCATAAATAATGACAGAATCCCCTAAAAAATTGCCTGTATTATATCTGAATCATCACATTATACAATCAACACTTAACATCATAAAGGACTTTCTGAGGAGTGACACTAAACCTGACTAACCATATTTAACCACACTATTAGATTTGAAGAATTCCATTATGCACAATGAAATGTAAATGTTGAACTGTTTACATATAGTGTTTTTAATAACACAGTCAATATAATTTTTAACTGAATAAAATGCATGGCTCCTTTACTGCATTTGCTATATTTGGTTATTATGGGGTTTGCACAACCAGAATAAGTAACCACGATCATGACCTTTCTGGAATTTGTGCATGTGCCCCAGTCGAGTCCTCACACCATCCATAGAAACAGCATGATGCTACTCTAAGTACTCATAATGAAATACACAAAATCATTTTTGAGCAGCTCTGCCCACTATGCTGTATTTACCATACACCCTACAGTTTATGGTTTGTCATTCCACTTTTTGTTAGCCATCCCAATCCTCCTTACTTTCCAAGAATATTTAAAATTGTGGTTGATATACAGTAGTACATTGGTTTCAAACACACAGCATAGTGATTCAACAGCTATATACATTAGTAAATCTTCACCCCAAGTAATGTAATTACTATCTGTCAGCATAGAAAGATGGTACAGAACTATTGGCTATATTCTCTATGCTGTATTTTCATCCTCATGATGGTTGGGGAGGGGCTTGGTGTGAGTGGGTGAAATAGGTGAAGGGGATAAAGACACAAAATCTCAATCATAATATAACTTAGTTCCCAAGAATTTTTATTCTCAAAATGCAGCACATTCCCCAATGATGTCTTTAAGTAATAAATTATCATTTCTTTTACAAAATATTTTCCATTATATTCCCAATGACATATTAAAATTTCACTTTTGATTCTAAAACAGCCACTCAAAAAAGATTTCTAAGTGTATTCTTTAGTTACAAACTTGAGATATCTATCTATCCATCTATCTACTATCTCTTTCCAGCTCCTTGATTCTGTTACTCTTCCAGTTTTCTAACCTAGGGTTCAAATTCATGCTTCAGATAACACAACCAACTGTCTGGCCTGGTGGACTGCAGACCTCTGGAAATCAAGGGCTCTTGCTAAGTTACATGTTTTGGCCTAGTTCCAAGCCCTTGCGCATGGTGTTTCTGGGTTTTGGGGTTTCAGATAACAAACTCCACATTCACCACTGAGCTCCCCGTTCTCATCAGCTTTATTGTTCATGGCAGGGTGCTACTGAAAGTTAGGGAAATGAATCCACGCCAGCTCTACATATACGCTCTTCACTGTTTACAAAAATAGACTTTTTTCCCTTGGAGGAAGGATAATTTAATTGGTGCTGGATCTCTCCTATCTTGAATAAAATTCAAATGCTAGTAGAATTATGAGGCATATATTTTAAAGAGGATTCTCTTGTGTTCTTTAATTGCTTAAGGAAAATATCTGAAATTAATATTCATTACTCCAAAAGTAAGACTACTTGGAATACAGATAAATAGGAAAACATTATTCAGCTTATTTTGTACATTGATAACATAATGAATTAAAACACATTTGTTCTGGTTAAGAACCTCTAAGTTACTTGCCTGTCATGCTAAAGCTTTCAACATGAGTTTTTATAGCACCACAACTTTAAAAAAATGAATTTTATATTTTTCTGATTATAAAAGTACTGCATGCTTATTATAGAAAACTTAGGATATATTTGTTAATAGATCAGAGAAAACCCTCTCATATAAAACTCATAGTTTTGTTTTTGCTAATCCTTTTCTTATGACCGCATATTGACTGTGAACAGTGTGCAAACTATTGTAGGTAATGCTGTCAATATGAGAAGAAAATAACCCAAATGGTAATCAGAGTTTCACATAATGCCTACAGAAGCCCAAATGAGGCACACTGATGAAGAAGAGACAACTACAGGATTTGAAGAAAATTGCCTTAGGCACAATCAACCACAGTGGCTCCTGGCTCTGAGAACACTGATTTACAATTAGGACTAGAAGGCTACTGAGGGAAATGGTTGTTTCACTAATAGGGGTTCTCCAAAGATAAGAGGGGGAAGACAGCAGAAATCTGAGAATGCAATCCCAGGCCCATGGCTGCCAGCAATCCTCGTGTCCAAGAGGAGGCTACCGTCGTATGGGACCAAGACCAATAAAGCAAACCCCCATCTAGAAGGCAACATCTTTCTTCACCTAGAACCTTCTCTTTGGAAACTTGTACATGTTATTTATTAATATATACCTTTGAAAATTAGAGTGAAAAGTAATAGCAAAAATATAAACACTTGATCAAAAGGTACCTTAGTTTTTGGATGTTTTGGGTAGGAAATTTTAACTCTAATACAAAAGCACTTAAAAGAAATATTGCCAAATACAGCCATTTAAAAATAATCCATGTCTGAAGTGGTAAAGATACCTCAAAACAAATGCTGGGCATAAAAGCCACAGGACATAAATCTGCAAAGAAGTAAAAGGCTAACCTTTTCAAACAATATGGCTTCTCTCTCACTTACCAACTTTACATTTCCCTGTATGGCCCCGGAAGATGACTGGTTAGCCAGAGACGGGTAAGATTCCTCAAGGGAGGAACAACCTAAGACAGGCACAGTCACAGGGGAGCCACCAGGTGAGAAACTGGGGATCAACAGAGGTGAGGCTTAGAACCTCACCCTCCCTGTTTTGAGAGAAATCTTCTGCATCCGTGGATGTTTTGTTGCCCTTGTCTAGCTTGGATTAATCCTTAGCCTTTAGTCTATAGGCACACACCTGATCATCTACATTTGCTTTCTTACAGCACTAAACTATGTTTTCTACCTTTATCTTGCATCTACCTACCACTTCAGCATTTTATTAAAAATAATAATAATAATAATAATAAGGGAGAAATGTGGAATTCACATATAAGTCATGTATAAAAATCAAACGAATATTCATATTTGACCTGATTGTTTATAGTTCATAATGCGTGATCAAAACCGAAAGTTTCTGTGATGACTGCCCTTGTAACTGTTCACCATGTAAGAACTTATTCACTATGTAAGAATTTGTTCACCATGTAAGAACTTGTTCGTTATGCTTCAGAAGATCGGAGACGGATGAGAATTAGGCTTGGGGTGGATTAATGATTGTGCATTGAGTCCCCTATACAGAATTTTATTGTTGTTAACAACCATTTGATCAATAAATATGAGAGATGCCCTCTCGAAAAAAAAAATAATCCATGTCTGAATTAAACATAGATAATTTATGTCAAACATGAAGCCCTAATTGGTTTCTCTTAGCCACCAAATATCTCTTTTATTACCCATTGGTAAGAGTGCAGGAAATTTAACAGATTTCAATCTTACACTGAGCAAAACACAGCTAGCAAAGCAATTCTGCTATAATGGAATAATCCAATATGGTCAATATCCATTTGTAAATCATTTTAAGATGTTTTGGGTTATCTGTATCATTTTTAAATACCACTTGCTGCTAGAGAGAAGTGAGGACAGAAAGTAGCATTACATTTTTTTCTTTCAATTTAAAAATGTTTTAAATTATTTACTGCAACATTAAATTAAGACTTACTTTACTTTAAATCTAAAAGCATTTGGCACTATAATCTTGCTTGTACACTGTGATTAAAATAAACACTTCCAAGTTAAATACCTGTTATTGCTAAAAGCACTTACCAATGGAAAATTGGAGGACAGAGGCTGTTGTTGTATTAAGGCCTGTGGTAACCTATAAAAGGGAATATACACCAAAGTAAGACACGATAGAAAGAGAGGAGGAAGAAGAGATGAAAGAAGTTGGGAGGACGGGGAGTGAAAGGAAGAGGAGAGAAAAAAGTCGACAGAGGCATTTATCCAGTGGTTAGCTTATTTCTATCAATATATCTGAACACAGATATTTTTCATGCTTCTCTATGGGGAACAAAGCTGTGAGATCCTGATGTAAGCACTCACAGTTTATTTCTCAGCGCCTTGTTGATACTGTTTTCAGTGTAATCTACCAGGGACTCTTGTGACAGCACTTAACACAGTCCCCTCTGTTCAGCCTGCCACCCCCCCACCCCCCCACACCAACAGACCTGAGGCCCAAAATGAATGCAATAGCAAGGCTATGAAACAAAAATTGGCAGGTAAATTGAGAGCAAAAGAACAGAATAAAGTTATTCTGAAAAGTAAATAGAGCTACAACAGCTAAAGGGTGCAGGCTTTCTTTGGGAGAGGACGAAAATGTTCTAAAATTGTAGTAATGGTTGAATAATTTTGTGAATAAAACCCTTGAATTGTATACTTCAAATGAATGAATTACAGAATATGTGGATTATTTCTCAATAAAACTGTTACTCTTCAAAAAAAAAGCAATTGAATTATGGGCCTTGAAATGTCCTTCCAATACATTCTATTACTTTCCCTTAGTTCATGAAGAAGCATGCTTAAATAATTTCCCCTCTTCTGAAAGGGGAACAGTATCTTATTTAATTTTAAGTAAATTAAAATTTAAAAATTTTTACTTATTTATTCTTTGGGGCAGTGACTTGGACCCATACCAGCTCAAATGAGATGAGAATTAAGGTTCTCATGCTCAGTGACTCCTGCTGGGTTCCTGACCCTGTAAGGTAGGTATGGACTGCCACCCGTGACTGCACCCCATGAAACAGAAAGAAGTATATAACTGTTTTCACTGTGCCAGAAGCAGTAGGACATCTTATACCTTCACTTCTCATATGTCATGAATCCATATCCTTAGACTTATCTCTGCACTTAGGTAACCTCCATCAGATGGAGTCCCTCCACTGCAGAAGACTCAAGAGACCCAGTTCAAAAGATGTTGTGGGAACCAGTGGACAAAGGAGTGAGCAAGCAGGGGCCTCAAGAAAGACATTTTATAAGTTGTCCAGATATCAGTAGAGGTATCAGCTCCTAACTGATTTTAACAATAGCAAAAATCAGAGGAAATTCTTGATTTAATTTAAATCCTTCACTATTATAGATTATGAAAAGTAAATTGACCACCATACCCAGACTGTTTCCTGCTCCCTTCCCCCTCACTGCCAGTCATTAGAGAAAAATGCACCAATAGAATATTCTTCAAATAACTAGGATGCTAGGATGCTTGCTCCTTTTCAAGGTTCCTTTAAAAGAAGTATTTTTTTCACAGCTTTTAGATTAAGTTCAGCTACTTGTCCTCATGGGTTTCCATTTGGATAACATGATCTTAAAGTCCAAAGAGGCACATGGAAATTCTTAAATTTTCACATAAATTGAATGAACGCTCTTTCCTCCTCTAATTTTATGTAATGGAGTGGATTCCCAGATGGATTATGAAACACTCCTGAATATAAGTTCTTTGAAACAATGATATTATAAAGTTAAAAGCACCACAGTAGCTGCTACTGCTGGTGTATGAAATGTACTAGAGAGTCTTAGATATTCATACCTATGGTGTAACAAATGATGCTTGTGTCACCTGGGATGAAGTTTCACAGCCATGATCACTGTCAGCAAACAGTAAACTGCTTGAAAAACTGCCAAATTGAAAAGTACATGACCTAACTGCCCCTAGACCTGGATTAGTCATTGATTCTACATTTTTTTTTTCTTCACCAGAGAAGCCAAGGACTGTTGGAATGGTTGACCCTCATTTCTTTATCTTCACCCACTTGGTTTATTAGTAAAATTGTGAGCTACAAGAAAGAATAGGAAAGATGAATAGAAAAAAAATTCCAAGAAGTATTGTCTATAAAATCTTTTCACTTACATTACAGTTGAGGATGATAATTCCAGTCTACAAAATTATTAAGTCTAGACATCTGACATTTTGAAAACTAAAGGGTCTCTTAAAAGGCCTTTGATAAATAATACAGCAACTATGAATGTTTGACAGTGAACTTTCTTCTTATCAAATCACTGCTCTTAAATTATCAACAGACTCCAAACTATAGAAAATTAGTATGTTCACTAAATGTATCTGAAGAATTCAGTGCAGGCTGAGGCTATTCATTCAGCTTATCTTCCCTATAAATTTTTATTCAGTTTGATCCTATTTTAGCCCCAATTCTCCCTTGTAACTAAATGCATTTCAAAATATGTAAGAAATTCAGTAAATAATTTCTTTTTAAAAAGAACTAATTTTGTTTTAAGCTCTCAGAACACATTTTCTTTTAAAGGAGTAGGTGGATGAATTCCTCATTACCTTCATTTCAGATTAGGAAAATGATTAAAGTTAGGTGCCACCACCTGAATTATGGAGACTCCACTGAGTTAAATAAGGTATATGAGGGCTGCAACCACTTTGTTTTTTCATGTGAAACCTTCATAAGAGTATATATCAACAATACCTTAATAAAAAATTTAAAAAAAAGAAAAGTATTAGCCTACTAAGGTTCTTTGCCTGTGATTCTGTTTCACAACTTCAGTAAGAATTGGCTTTATGAAAAATATGAAGGCATATTTTTAAAAATGTGATATTTGGGGGCTGATAATGTCCATCCATTCTCATGCATAGCAGTTTTGACTGGATTCAATTCTGCAGGACCATGCAAAATACCATGTTAATATTTGAATTTTAGTAAACATAATAGCATGTTAACTGACAAAGTAATTCCTCACTTGTCATTCAGTTTATCTGTCTTCAGTAAACACAACTTGGGTACAATATATATATTTTTTTGCTCAAGGGACACCAATACAGTTTAAAAATTACTGAAAATCAGAAGTTGGTAGTGTGTAAAATGTGGATGTTATCCCTATCTTTGTTATCTTCATTCTATTCCCTTTGAGTCTATAACACAATTCATCTTAAGGAAATACTTATGATGGGAATATAAGTTTGCCTATGTTTTTTTCTTTCTCAGTTGAGGACAATTATTTTGAATATTTTCCTTTTTAGTTGAGAGGCTAATCTCACATTAATTACATAAAGCAATTCAAAACTAGCCCACTGAGTATATAAACTGTAATGTGAAATAAACTGGGATGTAGTGAAACAAGATTAAATATACATGGGACCAAATAAACTAGATACTTCAGTTTTTGTATTTTAGAAATATCAATTTTGACATTATGTTCTTAGATATGTTTATCCTGTTAATCAGTAGAAACAAAAAAGAATTTGCCAAGCATTGCTAGAAATGTTACATATGGGGGAACATTTCAAAATAGGCATTTATTCTAAGCTCAATTGACTGCAGTAAAAATTTAATTTTGTTTTGAGGTTTATAGGTAATTAATTCAGTCATGGTACATTATTTAAAATGTACTAGCAAATCTATTTCTTCAAGAAGAACTTCACTACTAGTCACATTTGTCTGCAGGAATATTATAACACCTGTGAGACTTGAATTATGAGCACCTATTATTTTAATTTGCATCCAATTAATTCTGTTTGTGTTCTAATTCCAACTAAAAACTCTTCAATTTATCAACGTTCTGAAGTTTGTATCTTTAATAAATTAAACGTATCCATTGCCATGAAAGCAGCATAAAGAGCCATGTTATAAGAACTGACTTTCACATTTGGTAACTAAATCTTTTTTACTTGCCTACCTAGATTTTTCTCCCCTTTTTTACTATAGAAACCAGCCCTTTGGCCACTTTTAAAAGTTAATGAATTTGAAACAATGTGTGACATAGAGGTGAAAAACACAAAGTGTTAAGGAAGATGTGGCAGGAAAAGGAGATGCACTGAAGAATTCAAGTCAAAAAGCAGAAAAGCAAAGCATAGGAGATGTTGCCAGAAGAACATTAGGTGTGAAAAAATAAAATAAGCCAGGGGTATATATAACACTTACTTTTATATCCTTTTTCAAGTGTGTGGAATGAATATAGACTTAGAGCCAGAAAGCACCAAGTAACAACAAAGGCTCATTAGCCACATGCTGATGACTAGTGGTTTCACTGCTTTCAGTTTTGAATGCTCATGTTTCATTTTCCATGGGATCGAAGAATTTATCTTTGGCAAGTAAAGTCTAATCAGTCTAAATTAAAGGCAAGTAACCTCTGTTCAATAATTTGGTATAAACCAAAATTTTTAAAAACTGGTTTATTCAGTGTGTTCTTTCACTTAAAAAAATGATTAATGGTTAGGAAACAAAGTTTTAAAATAATAGAATTGCTCACCCAACATTTCTGGCTTGCAAGGAGAAATTAAGAAGTTTAAAAATAAAGCTTTAGACAAGACCTTATAAACTCATATGCTATTTAGATATGATACATATATGTGTGTCATATATGTCATATGACATGTCATACCCATTTTTAAAAAGCTATCTAATCATAATGATACACACCATGTTTAATGAGGTCCATTGATATTGCCAATTTTATTAACAAATTCTTCATTTTTACATTTGAAAATAAACCATAAAATCATTACTCCCAATTCTGAGATATTTGTAATATAAATGATACTCAGTTTCAAATTTTCATCCGAACTGGAAGTACATCAGAGAAACTTCCGTTGACAAAAATCTCACTAATGACAATGCATTTGACATAATGTACATAAATACAATATACTTACCAGTTCTCTTGGGCCATATGGCTCACAGAAGGTGACAGCATTGCCATGCATGATTGCACCGCACTGTTCTCCAGTCTCACAGTTGTTACATTTAACCCTGTGGGAACACAGACCGCATGCTAGACTGAGAACTAAGTAATACAACGTGCTTTATTGCTCAGGTAAGGAAAGATGTAATAGTTATTCAGTACAAATCAACATTATGAGGAAGGTAATGGTATTTTGTACTGTGACATGTTAACAAAACATGTCAGAAAGACTTGAACTTAAATTCTTTCAGTTACTTGCAGTGATGGGCAAGTTACTTAACCTCCCCAAGCTTCAGTTCTCTCACCTGTAAAATGAGGATAATAATATCAACCTGAACCTCACACAGCTATCATGAGGATTAAATGAGAGTGGGTATTTAAAACACAGAGTGCAGAATCAGTCTCATAGTAGGCACTTGATAATGGCAGATGGTATTATTATCAATAATTGCATATAATACATACCATTTTCAATACAAGGATGTTTGCAAATATTAAAAATAACAAAGTAATACCCACTTACATAATGCAATAAGACCTGTATCTCTGAAATCAAAAGATGTTTTACAAATTTTAAATCTTTTTCTTTTGAATTATGATTAATATAAATGTTTAATATTACTCCCCTAAAATAAATTTGCAAGTCTACAAAATATATCATGCTAAAAATAATGGAATAAGTATATTTGATCCCCATATTAACTTGAAATATCCACAATTCAAGCAAATTTTGGATACTGAGTTAATATGTTATCTTACAAATAATTTAATTAGCTGTTTCCTTTTTTACTGTAAAATTAAGTGGTTAATAAAACCTTAGGAGAGGTCTCAAAAATAAGTCCTGTCTTCAGTAGAAACTGAAGATATGAATATTCTGGATTTGACTTTGCATATATATAGTAACATTTACAATGTTCTGCATCATGACATTTCAACTAAAAATCATTACATACCTAACATGTAGAAAGGAAGATCTATGTTTCCTCTGTCTGAACCTTAAACCACATAAGAGCTGTATTTCATGCAGAGAGAACATTTTCAAAGACTTTCACATTCCAAGTGCCAAATACTGTGGAAAGGGCACTTTGCCCTTTGTTTTGGAGATCATTGTATTAGCCCTTTCAGCTCTTTGTGAATTTCAGAGAAAGAGGGAGTAGGAATTCCCATTCAAGGAGAAAGTAGGCAAAAGTGTGAAAAGATTCCAGGTAGTCCATAAAGCCAAGAGGCAGAATCACAGTAAGAAAAGACTTGGCAAATAAATCTAAGTATTCCTATGCATGAAATAAATGATTAGTATTGTTCTAATCTTTTGAGCTGTGTTCCATACAAGGAGATTGACAATGTCAAACCTTTGATTTCTGATATGGAATTTAAAATGCCAATAATCTCATAGCAACCCAAATCTTAGTAGGAGAGTTAAATCCCTTGATTACTGTGAAGCATGATTCTAATAAAATGCCCTTGACATTAGAAAAGACATCATAGTGGCTCCCTAAGAGAAACAAACTTGTATCTTGTTCACTGCTTTATGCCTAGCAATTCATATTCCATAAATATTTGCTGAATGAATGAATAAAGGAACATAAGACAATTTCATAAATAGAATTATTATTAAGGTCTGAGGTCTAAAGCACTTAGAATAGTGCCGGACATATAGCAAGCAAGCTCAAATATGTCAGTATAAATGTTAGCTATTATTATTATATTATTAATATTATTATTATTATGGATTTCCACCATTTTTGTCCAGAAAGTGGTAGACTGGATTTTTTTCTTCCACAGAGAATCTATTATAAGAACTCCTTACTACCTTTTTTCTTTTCTCTAAACATTAATTTTTTCCAAGGAGTGCGATTGTGATAAAAGTAAAGAGAAGTAGCACAAAAATTACAGTGGGGTTCTTACTTAGTGATAGATGAGGGTTATTTGGCCTTCAAGTTGAGAGAAACATCAACTTTGAAAGAGAAAAATTAAAAGACAGCTCAGCATTCACAATGGTTATCTGCCCTTCTCCTCCAGTGACTCTAAACTAAAAGCATCATTTTGATGAGAAGTCCAAGAGGCCTGATATTTGAATTCCCTTGACAATAATTCTATCTATAAATACGGATCAGCAGTCCCCAAATCAATATATCAAAAAAATAATATCTGTATAATATATATGTATTACAGGCCCCTTTTCCCCATAGTTTTGATTAGATTCAGGTACAGCCTAGATATCTGTATATTAAGAGTGATGCTAACATAGATGGTCTACAGCCTGGCATTAGGGAACCAGTGAATAGACAAAACATGTTTGATGTGTTTGGGGAACCACTTCTATACGTGAAACAACAGAAGTTAAAAAACTAATAGACACAAAATAGTGCAAACAGATACTGCTATTCTCTCCATTTGGTTTACAGCTCCTCTGGACATTTTTCTTCTTGTGTTTTATAGTTTCAGATACTTAATAAAATTTACAAAGTCATTGGTACCCTGTTGAAATTTAAAGATTTAGAATTATCAGCTCTTTAGAATTAATTCACTGAGCTGCTACTTGGAGGTACAATGACTTCACCAGGAATTGATGGGATAAGTCCATCAGCTTTTGCCAAGGTCTTTTGTCTTTTGCTTTAATTTTTCACAGTCTGACTGAGTTTGTCAACGTAACTTAAACCACATAAGAGCTGTATTTTGTCCTGATTGTGCATCCCCCTGGGTGTTCAAATTCAACCCACTCTAAGCCGATGGTGTTATTTATTCATTTATCACTCATTAATTCATTCTTATAATTAGCAAACTTATGTTGAGGACCTACAGGTACTGTGGTGAGCTTTAGAGCTACAGTACAATAAAACAGTGTCATTTTCTTTCCAGACTTTACACTCCAGAAGGAAAGATAGTGAAACAAGTACATGATTACAATAAGGGTGTCATGCATTGACAGCTATTTATTGCATTCTATATGTGCCAGATATGCTAAAGCCCATTTAAATCTCTCAGTCTTTCCATGAGATAGTTATCAGTGTCTTCATTTTACTAGTAAGAAAATTGAGCTTCAGAGAAGTTAAGCATTTGCTCAAGTCACACACCTATGAAGTCAGCAAAGTTGCTGTTTGGACCCAGGACTTGTTAATTCCAACCAGCCATTTTCCATAGCTCCTCATTCCTTTAATAGGGGTATGTACTGGTTGTGATAGCGCCTAACTCAGACTGAAAAAGTGAGGGGAAAGCTCCCAGAGGAGATGGTCCCAGAACTGGTCCCAAATGAGAAATAGGAGTTATTCAAGCAAGGAAGAGAAGTGAGAGGTGACAGGGCACAAAGGATGCACAGATTACGAGACAAGTAGAATTGCTATTTTAGTGGTTTAGTATGGCTGGAACCAGAGAAGGGTGTACTTGGAGCTCTACAAACAATGCCTCAATTAATTCATATAAAACCCCTCCGTCCTTTTTTGTCCCCACGTAGAGTATGCTAAAGCTGTGATTTAAAGATATCAAATGCTTGTCCAAGGCTGCAATGCCTGTAAATTAAAGAGCTGAGATTCAAATGTCCATTAGTCTGTTCCCAAAGTCAATGATACAAATCCAACTTTTAGGAAAATGACTCTAGCAAATGATGGATTGGAGGCAAAAAAGGCAAAACTACTGATTTAACACAAATAAGTATAATAGTGCCTTGAAATAAGGTGGAGATGGAGAGGACTTCCAGAGTATTGTTATTCAATAGAAATATAATGTGATGCAACAGCCCAGTTTGAAAAAGACATATGCACCCCTTTGTTTATCACAGCACTATTTATAATAGCCAGGAAATGGAAGCAACCTAAGTGTCCATCAGCAGGTGAATGAATAAAGATGTGGTCCATATACACAATGGAATACTATTCAGCTATAAGAAGAAAACAAATCCTACCATTCGCAACAACATGGATGGAGCTAGAGGGCATTATGGTCAGTGAAATAAGCCAGGCGGAGAAAGACAAGTATCAAATGATTTCACTCATCTGTGGAGTATAAGAACAAAGAAAAGAACTAAAGGAAAAAAACAGACTCACAGAACCCAAGTATGGACTAACAGTTACCAAAGAGAAAGGGACTGGGGAGGATGGGTGGGAAGGGAGGGATAAGGGGGAAAAAAAGGGGTGGGCATTACTATTAGCAGACATAATGTAGGGGGCAGGGGGCAGGAGGAGGGCTGTAAAACACAGAGAAGATAAGTGGTGATTCTATGGCATCTTGCTACACTGATGGATAATAATGGGTTATGTTGGGGGGACTTGGTGATCGGGGGAGTCTAGTAAACATAATGTTCCTCATGTAATTGTAGATTAATGATACGAAAAAAAATAATAATGCGAGCCATGCATGTAATTTTCAGCTTTCCAATAGCTACATTAAAAAGTAAAAAAGAACAGGTGAAATTAATTTTTATATTTTATTTAACCCAATTTTTCAAATTATATTTTAACATTTGATTAATATAATGTTAATTCATTTCATTTTTCTTGCATACCAAGTCTTCAAATTGGAGGGTGCATTTTACACTTATAGCACATCTCAATTCAGACCAGCCACATTTTAAGGGCACAGCAGCTGTATGTGACTACTGGCTACCATATTGGACAGCATGACTCTAGAGAACTACAGGGCTTGGAAACTGACTGCCCTCTAGTTATGCTAAAAACTGGATATAATCAGCTAATGATTATAATACAGATCTGAACTTCAGAGAAAGGAGATAGCACTGACATGACAGTTTAGGATATGGTGGCATTCACAGGAGTGCACATTACTGGGGTTTGGAGAGAGGGGAGGATATACAAAGTGAGAAGAGAAGAGGTTCAACAATGGATCCCTGGGGAACAACATATTGTCCTTAGTCTGGTTTCTGGAAAGCTCTAACCATTGTGGCCCTTCAGTGTGTACTGATTTGAGTCTATCCACTTACGTTTCCATGATTACTGGCAGTGAGTTCATTTCTCTTCATGCTCCTAACAATCCATGCTGCCCATCAAGATGACTTCTCTAATAGTGAATCTATAACATGACCTTCCTAATATTTTTCTTATCATTAAACCTCAGC